TCACTTCACACTTGGATTCTCAGTAGATAGTAGAGCCTCCACCATCTTTCAGCAGGGACAGTTGGCTTCACTTCTGTTGGAAACAGAGGGAAGCAGCTGCTGCTCAGAATGATGAAACTCCCATTGTGAGCAGCAGTGTCAGCCCCACTGAGAACTGCCTTGCTGCGATGTTGTGGGAAAGGAAAAATGTTTGCCTGAACATCATTTAAAGCTAATCTGACAACACAAACATTCAGAGACTTTCATTATTGAATGGGCTCATTACAGCAAAAGGAGTAGGTAGCGTTAAACCATTTGGGTATGTAGTACATGTGTCATTACTTAGTATACAGGAGATAGCAATATATGCTGTATCAAATCAGTAGGCAAAGGAGGCAAGTGCAGCACATGGCCTCTGTTGAAGGTAATGACATGATTATGACAACCTGATGTAATTTTTGGCAATGTAATATTGCATGTCGCTTCATCCCTTTCTACTAAGAACATGAAAGTACTTGATGGCTTCAGTGTATTAAGATTCACCTTCTGTTGAAGATGGGAAAGCGTTTTCAGACTAGATTCAGTTCTTTTTGACAGCTGAGAAGATTGGGAGATTTGTTTTTGTTTGCTTTGATGGATTTAATCTCAGAGATCTGTTACACTGTTAGAATTATCAAGAAAGGATAGTCCAACCAGTGTAACGATAATACAACTTGAAACTTGATAATACCACTTGAAACTGTAAACTAATCATCCTGATAGAGTTAGAAAATGTTTGTTCCATCCCCGTGTAAAGCTCTGCACACTTGGTTGACAGAAGGTTTGGTCACCTTTCTCAGAATCAGTGTTTTGACTATTATTTGGGGAGCATACTGGATGTGACAGACGAATAGTCTGATGTGGTTCAGCAAATGCCATATACAAAGACTCAAAGAGAATGTCTCTAGTGTCCTGGCTTTATACACTATGTACTTTCACATGAAAAACAGTTACCAGGGCACGATTATGCACAGAGGCAATTTTAGAAGTTGTTTCACATCCCTGTTTAGATTGCAGGGTTATGGAGTGCTTCTCCAGTGCCAGAACTCAGCTGTATTTTGGAGTGCCTATGACCTGGAAACATGATGTTATTTATGTAGCTAGATTTTAAAAATAAAAAAGGAATGCCAGAGCTCTGGGGGTTTAAGTTTGTACTGTAAGTGTTACTGGTGGATTTTTCATGATGAGATAATAAAAAAAAAATAAACGGGGAAAGGAAAAACTAGAGAACACAAGGCATAGAGTGCCTCGGGGAAAAAATGGCATGTTATTAGTACTTTACACTGCTCTGAAAAGATAAAGCCATATGTAAAAAAAGATTAGAGTTGGGGAGAAAGAGGAAGGATGGATCTTGGGAGTTCCAAGAGAGGTAAAAAAGAATTTCATCATGTATTGGCACATAATGTTCATTTAGGCATTCGAGTAATTTTCTTTCATCTCATAATATTTTGCAGTACCGACCTCTGATCTTAGTGCCAGGATAATGTGTCCATTCTTAGCAAGCTTATTCCTCAAAGGTTAGTCTCCCCTGCTCAGATATTATTTAAATGGTACTTTAGCATGGTTCTCTAACTAGCAGAACAATTAAAAAAAGTTATGGCTATGGGAAGAACTCAGACCCTTCCAGGATAATTTTTTTCATTCTCATGTATCTGAAATCCTTCTAGAAACAGTATTTACAGCAACTATGCTTCAGAGATAGCATTCTGGGCTAAAGCAAAAGAAAAGAAGATGCCCTTCCTTTCTCCCAGATTATCCAGCTGGGTTGAGTTAAATATCCCTGGGACAGTAGTGATCAAACATCGAAGCATTTGAGTACAACATCAGCCCACTAGAATGGTTGTATCATGGGATTCAGTTTGTGTTTTGAACCATTTGTTAGCCTAGCTGATGTGACTACCAATTCTACTTGTGTTCGTGCAAGTCTCTCTCCCTCGTTCAAAAAAAGTGCTCATTTAAAATAGTATTTAAAATTAATTATCACTATAAAATGCAGAAACAAGACACCCTTGTTTGGTGATGAAGAAAGATTAGGAATCCAGTTTCCAAGCCCAGCTCAGCTAAAGTTTTGCTGTGCATACCTGGGCAAGTCACTTCACGTCTCTGTACTGTAGGATGTATTGAAAAAGTGCAGTGCAGCCATACATGGAAATATTTAAATGGAATGGGGCACCAAAATCCATAAAACCTCCTCATCAGGAGACCAGTTCATTTTTGCAGATTGTCAAGTTAGTTTGGCTGGTACAGCTTTAGTGCTTCTGTCATCTCAATGTCATCACGCTCATGTACCTGAGCCTGATTACAGTTATAAAGTGAGAGCACTCACACTCATCTGTCTTAAAAGCAAATGGGCAAAATGCCCATCAATAGGCAAAAACGTCTGTAGACATTAAGATGAAAGGCTTGTGCAGGAAAAACAGTTACTGCCATATAAACCCTGATGGTAATATACTTCCTTTCCTGCTGCCCAAATGTGCAAAGAATGGTGGGAAATGAAGATGAAAAGACTAAGAAGACTCCTTCAATGGAGTTCCAAAAAAAAGATTTTTGAAAGATATCACGGGATTTATGGATAAAATTTGTGCTGACTGGAATATGGTTGGTAGTCAACCCTGAGCTTTAGATCAAGCGTGTGACAATCATTATATTGAACATGTATGTGGCACTTAGGGACATGGTTTAGCGGTGAACATGGCAGTGCTGGCTTAATGGTTGGACTCAATGATTTTAGAGGTCTTTTCTAACCTTAATGATTCTGTGATTCTATATAGTCACTCGAGGAACCAAAAGAAGATAGAATTGTTACGTTCTTCTTAAACCAAAAGCAGACTCTGGAGAGAAGAGAAGAGAAAAAGGTAGTGGAAGTCGGGGCCTTATTATATTGTAAAAAGCTAAAGAAACTAAAATGACCCCCGAAGACCCAGGCATATCAACTGTTGGTAGCAATATTTCCTTACTTGTCAAACATATGGCATTTTATCTGCCCCAGTAGGTAAGTTCTTCTAACTAATATCAGAGACTGAACTTGCCAGTGAGTATATTTTAAGGTGTGTGTCTATATACATATATCTTACAGCTCCACTAAGAGGAGAATTTCAAGTGAAAATACTGTTAGGGAAAGAAACTTAGGGAAGAGAATGAAGACCATTTTCATTATGTCAGACAGTAAAAATAAACCAGAAGAGACTGCCTACAGCAGTAGTTCCAGATCTGTAGCTTAATAGCAGCCTCTTGCCTGCCAAACTTTTAGATATTGCTTGTGGCTAAAGAGAGCTGCTGTCAAGCTGCAAGTTGATGGGGAGAGCAAAGTATAACATTGTGCAGAGGACATTACAACCTCACTGCTGTTGCCCTTGAATCAGCAAAAACGGAGGGCATTGGTGTATGGTTACAAGAGTAGAATATAATCCTGAGGAAAAAAAAAGAAATTCCATGTGAACAGGTAAAGGAAGACAAACACAAAGAGAAAAGTAATGGCTATAACTTATAAAAACCAGACAAGCTTGCACACACGCTACATCTTATGGAAACTAATGCAAGAAGGTGTAAGAGATCAGGACAAAAAACTAACTTGAGCAGCAGAGCCCTGGCTTTCTGGAAGTTGCCTGTTTTGCCCAGGCAGATCCTTCAGTCTTAGTTTAGGAGATGTGTGCAGAAGGGAGCGCTAGAGATGAAAGCAACTCCAAAATCCAGACAACAAAACTATGCTAAGTTTAGATGTGTACATTTCACATTGCATCTCCATCCATCTCCAGGTTATTCTGCTTTCTTGATAAAAATGGGAATGACACACCCTGCTATTTTGTGCTTAATCTCTTATCCGTGGGATTGTCACATTAGAATGTAAGAAAGAAATAGAAGTAAATGTCACTAAATAGGAAAGTAAAGAGAATTGCTTCACTGCAACATTTTTTCACTGAGCTGCTACTAAGGAAACATGGTTTCTCCATATCTGTTCCACAACTCATTTTGCCATCACATCATAGCCAGATTTTATGTCCTATTCAGAAACTTGTGAGAAGAGGCTAAAGCATGGGCCTCTCTCTCTTCCGCTTTCAAGTGGATGGCTGCATCACCTACAATCTTGCACATCAACACATAACTGATGGGTAACTCTTTCTTATCCCAAAACCCAGCTCCTCCTGTCATGCCTATTTACTAAAAGCTCAGTCATTACAAAACCTTTTTTCACCAGGCAATTATAAAAGGGACAGATTCTCCCACTGCTGTTGAAGAGAGTTTAGATTATTGTTTTTTCTAAGAAAATTTTGTACTGGTAGGATGCTACTAAAATGTTTCTTATAGACTGATGTCCTTTTGTTCCTACAAGACAACTATTACGAACTTTATGTACACAAACACACATGAAACACACACAAGACCTTGCTATACAGCTCTATAGCACTGCAGTCTAAAGAAATGTCTCATAACGATATTGCATATTAGGCTTACAGTGCATCAAAAAGCTTTACAAGGACATTAAAAAATAATTGAGGAGAAATTACATTCATGCCTGACCCCTTAAGAAACCACCACATTCCACAGAAGACACCAAAAGGAGGGTCAATAATGCCAGATCTTCAGCTGCCAGAAGCATTTTTCTTTCTAAGCATCTTGCCCCTGTTGGTATGATCACAATGGGTGTCTCAGAGATACAATAGTCTGATCTCTGCCAGAGCAACCTTAAAGTTTCTGGGAAATCTGGATATCTCTTGTGCTCCTGACTAATACAAAGAAATTTCTCCATTCATTATTTTCTTTGTTCTGTTCCAATAAAAACACTCCTCCTGAGCACAGTCCTGATCCCCCACTGACAAGGCGAAAAGCCTGATGCACCTGCGGTGGAAAACACACTGAATCTCAAGCCTTGCAGCTAAGACCTTATTTGTTTAACTCCACAGAAAATGTGATACTAATTTACTCAGCATATTTACCCTTAAAACTTCATAGTGAAAGAAGGAAGCAGCCAAGCAGATCTGTACCTTTGAGGCAGGTGGTTGCACTTTCCTGTTTCAGGTTCTGTGATGAGAGAAAGCGATGGGGGAATGGCACAAGTCTCATAACAACCTGTCTTCAGCACAAATGCTTAGCAAGGGCCAAAGTCTGTGGAGCCATGTGGGACACACAAGTCTTCACCCCAGCATCTCAGCCTCTCCCTCCTGAAGCACAGCCAATCAAGCTAGTAGGGTGCAAACCACAAACCACGCAGGAACTCACAGGCACGGCAGCTCACCGAGCCTGTGAGTGGCTCATCAGCTTAGAGTGGTTTTATTCTTTTACTGTGAGGGAAACTGCTCTAGAGCAGTTTCTCTGAATGCTACAGCTGTGCTGGGGCACCTCATAACTTGCTCGATGCTGAGTTCTTTAATATATCTGTCTGGAAAACACTGGCCCCTTTGGACAGAAGTAGTGATCCCCAAGAGCAAGCCATCAAAGGTCTAAAATGCACCCTCTTTTCTGTTATGGGGGGACAGCAGTGGCCATAAACTATCAGCATCTGAATTCGTGAAGCACCTCTCCTGCTACACACCCCATTTGATGCGACAGAATCTATGGGTGTATATGCACGGGGCACCCACATGTGAAGATGCACTTGGATCTGTGTAAGCAAACACAGGCAAATGCAACAATCATCTTGTGCCTGTGTAGGCACAGACCAAGAGAGAGTTGATATATCGAGTGTCCAGGATTTCATCAGATTGAGGGATTAGTGTGAACCAGGGGGCTGTCTTCAAGCTGTGAGAAAAAGAGTTATGAAAATCTGATTCGTACAAGAACACAGAAAAGGCACATTTGCCTATTTAGTTGCTGTATCAGTTGGGTTGCCAGCAGGGTTGTATTGCAGTGGCCTGGACAAGAGTGACTGAGGTCTGCCCAGCTGACTGATGATTTGTCTGGGCTGTGCACCTTTCAGATGGTAAAATGTGTGGTAGTATCTTAAGGATATAAGAATAGAACTTTCTTCTCCTCAGGTGAGCAATGGCTGAAAAGACACTGCTGGGTTACTGCACTAAACTACCCCCCCACCACTACAGAAAATGGAAGGGGTCTCCCATTCCTCACAGCAGGGGCTGGAAGATGGGGGGGAGGGGCTGATGCGTGAAAATTGACCGCCCCCTCGTGGATGCAAGCAAGCCTATGGAGAGGGGCAGGGCTGGTTAAAAGCATTCTGAATTGGATTACAGAAGGAAAGGGGTGGGGCAATGTTGCAGATGGATTGGCAAAAGCAGTTTGAAGCAGGGGGGCGGGGCGGGGGTGGGGAGAGAGGGGAGGGAAGCTGATCCCAGAATCTCTGCTGTTCCCACTGCTGGAAGAGGGGATAAATAGAGGGTGGTGGTGTGAGTCCATCCACCTATATCAGCCTCATGGTTAACTCCAATCATTAATTACACAGTTACCCCTGCACTATGCTCATCCTACTGGGGCTTGGCCTCTGGAAGGCTGTTTCCTCCCACCTTCCCTGCCCTCCAGAGCTCCCTTCTCATGCCTAAGGGCTGCCAGGGATCAGCAGGGTCTCTGTGGGAGGAGGAGCATGGGTGGTTGGAAAAATGATTGCTACTGGAGAGCAGAAAGCCTCTGGCCTTAGGAAACACAAGCCCTTGCCCTGGCCCATGGGCTGCCAGGTGTGGTGCCTGTGGCTGTTAACATGAGGCATTTCAGAGAAAGTAAAAAGGACTTGACATCAAGTTAAATTTCTCCCTGCAGCCACCACTCTAGGACCACTTAAAATCATAGCCTAAAAACATCATCTAAATTCTGTCGGGGAGCTGTAAGCCGTGAAAGGGCTGTTTGCTGCAGCTGAAATAGATTCATAAATTATCAAGTTCTTGAGCCAGTGAGATCCACATGCCCCAAGTTCTTGAGGCCACTTTTCTTGACTTTGTACTGTTTCCTTGAGTATGGTTCAGCGCCTGGCCAAATGGTCCGTGCCTTTTCCATCCTATTGCTCAAAAGCAGCAGAAAAAAATATTTTCACTCCTAATTATTGTTAACTTTGTAGAACAAGCGGCCAGACTGCTCAGGTTCAATCTGTGTTCTTCAAAAGAGCACAGGTGTTACAAAGAGAAATGGGCAAAATTTTATTGATAACATTGAACTATCTAATATTGAAAAAAACTATTCTTAACTGTATCTTTTGTCCAAAAAATTACAAAGAACAATTAAGATGTTTTATGAATTGCTATTAAATTACTCTTTTGCCATTTTTAATGGTTTAAGTACTTCCAATATAAAATATTCTGGTTTTCCATCTAAAAACAGCTCTTTATCTCAAAATCTACTTCAATTTGAGTAAAAAGGGTAAAAACAGATTAAACAATATACAATGTTTTGGAGAAAAGCACAACTTTCCATTTGATAAAGATAAAAAATATTTTTTCTTTTGCCTTAGGGACATCAATCTTGCAAGCAAACTGAAAATCAGTTATATATGCAGCATTGTAGCATTAATCACATGGAGCTGGCTGAAGAACAGAGACACAGAATGCAAGAATCAAATGCTGATATCTTGTTCACTAATGCTAAGACCTATACAGTGTTCAGCTTCATTTATATGGCACAATTTGTCTGACATTTCCTGACAAACAAAAGCAAAAGACTGGAAATTAATGCAGGGCTGTATCCAGTCTTCAGGCTTTATAGTCTCAATTGATCAATTTGAATATTATTTAAATACAAACATCTACCAAATTTTATATTTCAGGCTTTTTTTTTTTTTTTTTTTGATTGTGTTTTGTTTTGGTCAGAGGAAGATCTTTAGGCTAATAACTTGTTTTAATCATGATTCAACTCTTTTGACATAATGCCACCAAAATACTGGTATTGTATTGCTATGTCAGTTAGTAAATTCTTTTTATACCTCTGGAATATTCCTGAGCTCCTGAAGTGAGGGGGAAGGCTATGCCAGCATTGTTCATGTTGTTCTTTTTGTATATGTATAGAACTTCAAGCTGTCACTCTTGGACTTTTCACCACTTACTAAAAGCAAAGAAAGAGAAGAAAGCATTGCATACTCATCAAAATCCTAGACCTACAAAATAGAAACCATGGGGGGACCCAGATAAGGGAAACATAGGTACCAAGTTTTCTGTAAAGCAAGGGGGATTGCAAAAGGATTAGCTAATCAATTTGTAAAACAAAGCAAATCAATGTATGCTGCCATATAACCAATGTCACAGTGCCACTCTGACAGAGAGAGAAACATACAAAGGGAAAGGAGGAACCTCATGATTGATGTTTTTAATAGCTTCATTGAAACACATGATAAAATCAGATTCTCTCAGCAGGAGACAGACAGATATAAATGGACTCCATCTGAAGCGCAAACAACAAAAAGACACAGGGAATTGTAAAACATACAGCACCCTCCTCATAAAGATCTCAGTTTCTCTCATCCAAGTGTTTGCAACTGTTTCTCCCTGTGAAATCCTAATTAAACCAGTATTTTTCCCGTTTAAGTAATTTGAAAATGTGTGTAGTTTGATAAAAAGGTTAATTAGCTCTATTCTTTAAAAAATTGAAAAGGTACCATTTTGATCTTTTGCTTGAAATTCATGTCTATCCTTGCATTAAAAGTATTCCTCAATCTGGACTGTGGTAGCTCGCAGACAGGAGAAACATACTCATAAGGGGGGGCTGTAGGGAGGCGCCTCAGATGGAAACCAAACATTTATCATAAGTTTTAATATTTTTACTTTTTGTTCTCCTAAAGTGTACTACAGATTGTTTTTCTTCTCGAGGCTGGGTGTTTTTCAAGGCTTGAAATCAAATTGATACATGATGAAGATGGACCTTCTCTGGTGACTTAGATGGGAATTGCACAGAATTCTATCCAGCCTGATACTAACCAATAAAAGCAAGGGATAGGAACAGGAACATCACAAAAAGCTATGAAATGACAATTCACAGGCATCATTTAAATCATTTGGAGGCTGCATTCCCTTTTTATGCTGTTGCTGACCAAAATGCACTTCCTATTGAGTGTACCAGCTGTGAAAGATGACAGATCCAAGCTGATTGGTCTAGAAAAATTGTTGTTACTGTTTAGCAGAGCAATTCATAGACAAATGGAAGTTCTTGTTTTAATTCCTTCACCTCTCTGCTCTGGTTTAAAGCCCTTCAACAATTCCTTAGACAGAAGGATTGCAATAGATTGACATGAGACATTTCCTTCCCTTCTCCCTAGTTGCAGATATTGTCCTTTTGCTGTAATGTAACTTTCACTGACTCTGACATTGGCACTTGGATCTTGTTATAGATATATGCTATATATTGATATATATTGATATATGCTCAAAATGCTAGCTTTGTTAGCACCAAAGTCAATTGAAGCAGTGATTTAATAGTTGAAAGTAAGTTTAAACAAACTTACTGGAAAATAAAATTATCCATTTCTTCTTTTACTTGCTAGGGCTCCCAGTCCTCTGGGTTGACTATTCATTGTGTTTTCAACCTGTAAATGTCAAAGCACTTAATTATTACCGCATACATTATTGAGTAGAACCAAGCCACTTTCCTTCTAGTGTAATATCAAACATGATATCTTGCCAGTAGGAGAGGCTAGGCATATTTTCTGTATTTTCTCCTTGGGTCTGTTATGGTTGCTGTATTTTTGGTTAAGGTCAGTTGAATGTGACCAAAAGGTTATTGCAGAAAGTAATCTCCAGTCCTCCTGTTCATTAATTTTGCTACCATGGAATCCTGATTTTGGCTGCCTTACACAGATGAGAAATGGAGGATGAAATTATTTCTGTCTCTGTTTCTTTCTCCAGAATTTTAAGTGTATGATATCACAGAATCGTAGATATCATGAACACTTCTGCCAGCTCCGTTAGTATCCCTGAGTGGATACCATCCAGCTGCAGAGACTTGAGTGTGTCTAGGTAGTGTAGCAGGCCATTTCCCCTTGTGTTATGAGGGACTTAATTCTGATCTCTGTCCCTGTCTTCCAGCTCGGGGGTATGGGTACCTGCAGGCTGAGGTAAAGAAGGCATCAAGTATCTCAGCCTTTTCCTCATCCTTTGTCACAATGTTTCCCTCTATGTCCAAAAAAGGCTGGAGGTTCTC